TGCATCATCACTGACCAGTTACATAAGTAAACCTCGAACAGTCAGTTCATATGTGGCTTGCAAATTGTGCCGTAAATGTTCTAAATGTACTTCTCGTTCAATTTCACTACACACTGCATTTCTCCTCTTGTTCAGAATTCCTTTGACAATCTTCCTCCGCCTTTCCCTTTCATCTGGGGACATTTTTTTCTTCCAAATCATCTCGTCTTCGTCCCAAACCACCTCTTGCTTTTTGGCCAGGTTGTTGCCTTCCCAGGGCACACTGTTCTGACTGTTGCTGTTCAGCGACCATTCCGTACTGTTTGCCAAGTAATCTTCAAAAGCTGGAAAGAGCGAGAGTAGTGTATGTATTAACGACAATCCTAACATACGGAAGCTCGTCCGTCTTTTGTGTCGGTAAGCGAGAAGCTTCGACTTCATTGATATGACGAAAAGTCGAAATGCCCGTTTCTAGTTGGCATGATGTATTTTTCGCTGCCGACGGAAACGAAAAAAAGAACTCATTCTTGAAACAGTTTTATAACAGCGTCGGGTTCACAATACAGACTGAAGTAAAAATAACACGGAAATTTAGCAAAAAAAGGCCCTACTATATCTGACGGGAGAATTTCGTTATGTCGAATTCCAATCCCTCATTGGCTAGCGGCAAAATAGAAACACACTGGTTGCGTGTCCATAATCCGCAACTTGCTCTTTTCGGCGAGCTTAAAAGCACGCAACTTGGACTCGCCTCGCCTCACCTCCAACACTCAGAAGAGTGTCACAACTAAAAACAAAAACAACAACAAAACAAAAAAACAAAAAGTTATTGACATGGCTCTGAGACGAGAAAGACCGTTAGGGCGACCATCCCAGTGATATTATGTTTTTTTCGAAGAAAGCTAGAGACTGGCGCATATTTTGCCAAATTTTCGGCCCATGCAAGCAAGTCTGAGAATCTCGGCAATCCAAGCGTCCTCGTTAAACTTAAAGGGACAGGTTCACGGTTAAGGGTTTGCTCATTAATTAAATTACTTCTTTCCAATTTATTATTAATTTTATCGGTTAACAATCCCACTCACATGTACCTCAGCGATCTATGTATTTCAAAGTAGAATGGTATTTCAGAGTAACCTGAAGTAGGATGGAGGAGTAGTAAAATCGCAGAAAAATTAATGGGTCATGCCAACACTACCAACGCTGAATTTATTGTTGAACAGAAGGTTTTATTCCATTGTTGATTAATTTAAAGCTATTTGCAAATACTTAAGTAGATCAAGTGCAAGTGACTGCCAGGGGAGGGAACAGATTGGTTCTTTGACAACATTATGACATGATCATATTGCTTGCATAGACGATACAGCATGTCCCGGCAGAAAAATGATAAATGATAAATGAGCATGCAGCGCTGAACCGTGAACCTGTCCCTTAAAGTCTAGTGAACCAGTGCTACACTTGGGATAAAATCGCCTCATTTTTTCTTTTTCTTAAACCAGGATTACTATACTTTCTTCTTCAGGGAGGGAGCTTAGGCAACTACAAAGGCGACGGCAAGCGATTAAAATCAAAACAGAACAAAGGTGCAGCAAAGTAGCAACTCTGCCTTTGAATCACATATTTCAGATACATGAAGTGAGAAAGTTGGCAATGCTAAATACTAATTCGGCCGTTAAAGTGGGTAGAGATTACAAATACAATGTTGCAATATTGTTTCATTGAACGTCTATCTTGAATGCATGGGTTTGAGATACAGCAATTTTTAAAATTATCCTAAAGATTGTTGGTGGGTATGGAAAAAAACCGAAGAACATCCGCTGTCCAAACATCCTGATACACTCTCTAGATAGCTACTTTCTGGAGTTTTAAACCTTGCAATACAAGACTAACATATGTTAAAACTTAACCAAAAAAGGGAAAGAAAATAGATAATGTAACGAATCGATTTCGAGATTATCACGCGATGTCAGTATGAAGAATTTTCTGAAAACAACGTTTACAACAGACCTCTGATAGTTAGTTCTTGGCTGATTTGTAAGTTATGCCTGTGTTTTTGCAGATGTGTTCCTTTAAAGTACAAATTTCGTTCTAATTCGCCGCAAATCGCATTTCGCCTCCTATTCAGAGTTTCCACGATGTTCCTCATTCGATTCGCTCGCTCGATAGGTGTACCTCTCCTATTTTTCCTCAGAGTTGTAGCTGCAGCTGCCTCCTCTGCTTGTCTTTTGGCGTTCTTTACCTGTTCAAGTAACATCAGGTTACTCTTGTTAACTTGAGTTTGGTTTTTCCTGCCTTCAGAAAGCGATTCCCTGAACTCCAAACTGCCTACCGTTGTGTCAGCCTGTTCACATTGCGCTGCGGTATCTCGACCCATTATAACAGACGAACTCGACGTTTGACCAATAGTCGGGAACGGGCACGTTTTGCGACGGTTCCTCAAAAATATATCAAGAAATCCCATTCTAGCATGTAATTCAGCTTGACACGATTTCTGACCGCTCTAAAGTGAAATTCTCATCCGTGCTCAAGGACAGAAGAATAGATAAAGTGAAATCCACTAAATTATTAGGAGTCTCTCTTTTGATGACTCCGCTGTCCAACTAACCAATCACAACCCCGAAGAGGGAATTAGCTTACCAAAGTATTGCGCAAGTCATTGCGCAACAATTTTACAAAAGACAAGATCACTACTGACTTTCGTCGGAGAGGAATTCTTTTCTTAGTGAGAAGGGACTTTACTACTCTAAATTATATCCTTCGTATGCCACACAAAAGAAACAAATATAGCACGAAATGTAACATAGTTTGGAAAAAAAAAAAATTAAGAGGACACCTATAAGAAACTAGAAAGCTTATGAATTAAGCATCCAAGAACTATGGACTAAAATAAAGGTTGATTACATCAAATAAGCTGATAAGTGGCGTAGAAAACTAAGGGTGGTTCGATTGACAGTATTCTAGAATAAGAATAAATCGAATAAACTCTAGAAATGATCTGTTTTAGCTTTCATTGCGTTCCAATGCCGGGTATAATCAGCTTAAGGAAAACATTCCGATGTATGTAGCATTCAAACGGTCCTAAAATCATTGCACGAGATTCGCAACAAATCGTTCACGTATTCCTATTTCGGAATACGATCAATCGAACGCACCCTAATAATTTTTTAAAAGAAAGAATCTTGTGAGCACCGGTTGTGATCGCTCTTTGGTGGAACAAGGAAAATACGAAAACAGAAGGGACCACAGAAAGGTCCCTATTTAGTCAAAAATACACTGTTTATTGGAACAAAATACGCGAACGTTAAAATCGTCAAACTTAACAGTCTCTAACTTACAAATCGTCATTATTTCGCGGACTATGTCTGTGAATTAAAACAGTCAAAATCTCTCATTTCAATATACACAACTTGATTATATTTGCAGTACTCGGCAGAACTCATTGTAGCCTGCGAAGAAGATTTAAATTTCCAGTGGCAAGCGAGGCGATCCACGAGAGAATACGCGAGTGGCCCCGTGAGTAAGATGCAACGTTCCCTCACCCCTCGCTCTGGTAGTCTGCTACACAGCCGTTTTTAGTGTCGTCACGCAATGCTCCTCCCCACTGAGCATTGCGTGACGACACTAAAAACGGCTGTGTAGGAGACTATCGCTCTCGCGCCTACTTTCGTGTACCGCTCTTGCATGACTGGGATTTCCACGATATTCCCCTTATGGAGAGCTTGTTCGCAGGCTTCACTTATTGACTTTGTCACATTCCCCCGAGGTCACGCCTCGTTTGATAAGCGCTTTGAAGTGATCGGCACGCTGTCAGATGGGATATAGTCTTTATAAACAGCATATGTATTATATACTAGTGCGCCTTATGTTCATATAAAGAGCTTACGGCGTTACGCACCGTCATACATTACAAAGATTATTTTTTACGATCGCGATGCAGAAGAGTTGGTTTTAATCCGACCACAATTAAACATGGGAAGGCTTCTCTCTTTAATTTTTGTCAGTGAACAATTAAAACGTGTTCTGTCCAGTAAGAAACAATTTTCATGCAGTGCCTTTTGTTTGGAGAACTTCCAGAACTGCATTGTCGGTCGCTACGGTTGTCAAGCGACTGCAAAATCGGATGGTTCCCTGCAAAAATCAATTGAGAACACGACAATTGAAACAAACTTCAAGTATTCACGTCTGCAAATTCTAATAACTTTATCTTTAATTGAAAGCTGTGGTAGCACTCCCCTCCTCCCCGCCCCTTCTTTTCACCAGGACTGCTGTTTCCGGCCAAAAAATAGAGAACGAACGCTCTGGATACAAAAACGGACAAACGTTACCACCCTTTTGGCCACCAAGGCCACCGAGGGCTCTGGCTTCCTGCGCAGACTCAGAAATGTTAAAGAAAAAGGGCTGGATTTCCAACGACTTCAAAAATAGCCAAAGCTCTCGATCACGCTGACCACAAAGATCGCAGAATCAGAATGACTGCTGGAAGGAAACGATCTCTCGGCTCAGTGAGAAGAAATAAACGACGTGGTTGTTTTAAAGAGGAATTATGGTGTCACTTGGAAGGGGGAAGTACAATTAACTTGTTTTAGTCTTATCAACTTAGTCGATAAAACAGAGACTCGAGAGCATCCACTGATGAATCTCTTAACTTCATCAGACGAAAGCCGGTATTTCTTCCACGTAGTGGAAGTTTTAGCACTAGGGCAAAGGCGGTTCTAACTCGCCAGGTCAGTAGGAAACACCTCATGTATTGCAGGACAAAATTATTGTATAACTCGAGATTAGTATAGACAACACCAAAGATCTAGAGAAATTACATCAATGCATCTCGTAACTTGTGGAACCGGCAAACTACATATCTAAAAAGTCATTCGACATTTGGTTTCGTTCAGGATCAACGGGCGCCCGTATATTTTCTAAAAGCGGATTTAACAACTTGACTTTCAAAATCAAAATCACGGCTCATCTCGAAGTAATCCTTTACGAACTCTTTCTTACCTTTGATGATCTTCGAATGTGTGAGGCTTCTACTCCTTGGTGACATCAAGGCCAGAGTCCCTGGATACAAACACGGTTTTGCTAGACTTCCGCATGGAAAGAAATCGCTTCATTTCAGAATGGCCAGACTGAAGGTATCCTTTACCTAAAATGGGGCGTTATATGTTTGTTTTCAGTCAGTTCAAAACTATTTTAATGAAGTGTCCACGTATTTAGAACAAAAGTACTAAAGGCCTGATTACATGAAGGTGGGATACCCGAGGTAGGTAGGGTAACCCGCTTAGACGGGGTGAAAAAAATATCCCGCGTTGACATGCAATCTTACAACCCCGCCTTTCGGGGTGCACTTTCTTGGTAAACAAACAAAACATGGCGAGCAAACGGTTAATGCTCTTCTCCTCTCACTTGCTGCACGTAAGACAAACTTTCAGTGCTGTGGTTTTCTATATTGTCACTTTCAAAAGCCTCCGCCAAAGGCAGTTCGTTGAATTTGGCGCGAATTTGATGTAACACGAATCGGACCCCGGCTAGGCGGGTTAACGTGATCAAATTAAAATGAGAAATTATATGGAGAGGCGGGTTTTACCCCACCTACGCGGGTTATCTTACCGACCTAGGGTCCCCCATCTTCATGTAAACAGGCTCTAAAAGGACACTTCTGTATTTCCTTTAGCCTCGTTCTCAAAGCGAGTCTTGTTGCATGATGAGGTATAAGTATGGTTTGTGCACCAGGCAAACTCTTTTGAGCTAGCTTCGTCAATAAGCTAAGGCAGGACTGTAAGATGCTTACAAAGATTTAATTAGTCAACCTTGTTTTGTCCTAAGGAAATCAATCCTGGCTATTTTGGTAATAAGATTCCCATTCTGGTCGTATTTTACATCGTAAAACTGTAATTGTTCTTTGCAGAGCTTCGATTCTATCGCGATACAAGGTTTTCCCAAGCACTCACGCGACCGTCTCACGTAACAGTAATCCCATATTAGGAGGTAAACTTTGATTGGTTCACAAAAAAAAACCGCACTACGCTTCACGGTATATAGTGACAATATCTATCTGAGCTCAGACACGGTCATCTCTCTTAATCTAACTTAGGGTGTAATCTTTCGAAGCATACCAGAAAGCCGCCGCACTAGCCTGCCCCACCGTTTTTTACTGTTCTCACGCTCAAAACAATTAACAATTCCAGTGAACCGTGGTGACTCCTATAAGCGTATGCTGCAACTGAATCAAACCTTAACTTCCCAACTTTTAGGCTCTGTTGACACTGTACGGGATAGTTTTTGCGCGGGCACGAAAATCATATCGGATAAGGCTTTTGTTCCCACATAAGAATGGTGATTTCGGAGAGGTTTCTACAACGGAGCGATGCTGCACAGCATCGATCGTTACATATCGGTTATAGGTTTTTGTACCACTCTTTGTGGTCATACCAGGCCGGAGTACCTGTAATGATAAGCTATCTATCTGTATCCTTAGTTAAGTGAACGAGTTAGCATACTCGCTAAAAAGTGTGAAAGGACGAGTTTTTTTTTGCCTTTTTGAACTTAGATTGGTTTGAACGAACGTAAATTCACCATGTTGTGACGTTTTTTTTTTATCTCCGTTGCTGCCGTGGTTCCGTTAGTTTCCTCAGTAACAACATCAATTGCATATCACTTTCTTATGAGAAAAAAAAACCATGCTCGCTTCGACGGGTTGGTATTTCAAATAAAAAGAATATTGTATCCTCACCAGCACATGAAACCATTCTTGAAGTTATCCAAACAAAAGGTTCCTGAAGTGCTTTCCTGTCACCAACACACAATTCTGTAAGCCGAACTGGAAAAGAAACAAAAAAGACACTAGCAATAGTGAACATGTGGGACTCTCATATTTTAAGATTCGTGAGACATTCTGGAGGCAAATGGAGATTAAAGGTTGAGCCGTGGTAACACTAAATAGTCCAGCTAATAAAGCTGTAGCCTTTTCCAGGCTCCAAAATAGTAGGGCAGTCGTGCAGTAAAAAATTCGCTTGGCTTGTTTTATTACTGAGAGCCTGGCACAGCACGGTGCAAAGAAAGTCAGTTTTACGGCATGCCATTCGGGCAAGTTAATGCTAGTATGTACCAGCCCAAGAGTCTTCAGTTTTAACTAGCCCGAAAAATTTTTTGATAAGCAGCATTGATTACAGTTCTTCTGTAATTTGAATCACCCAAAAAACTCACTTGCCCTTCGGGCAAGTTAAGAACAGAATTCACTAGCCCGATTGCAAAATCCACTATCCCCAGGCTAACGCACACGACTTTCTTTGCACTCTGCACAGGCTAACCAACCTGAGGCAGGCTCTCTAGACTGTGTATCAGTCGTTTCCTAATAGCTGACTGGTGTGTGTCAAGGGCCTTTGTAATTTACCTCCCAACTCAAGCACGTTTTCCAATTGAAAGAGAGCGTGTCACGTGCCATGAGTCAAAACTTTAAAACTTTTCGGAAGCTGAAGCCAAAAATTGTACATTACCTTTCTCTGTCTCGGCCCACTTTTTGATTTCAATTGGTTCACACTCCCTCTCTTTTTTAATATCAGTTTTTGTTGCTATAACAACCATTGGAAACTGCAATCAAAGAATTTGATCAAATTTATTTTACCAAAATTACAATATTAACAAGAGAAGAGCACCATCCCCTTCATGTCTTCATGTTGGACGAATTTAACTGAACAAGACAGTGGTTAAAATGATGGACTTGAAATCAGTCGGCCACACAGTTCAAGTCCCACAATGACCCCTAGACTGCTAGAGTCATTCTTGTGTTTTTGACCCCTTGATCATACTTGTACATGTAAGTAGCCAATAATGGTTTACTTCAAATCATTTCTTTCCTTAATGGTGGCCACAATAAAAGCTACTAGGTTGCCAGTACTTGATTGTTCTACCTCCATATTTTACTTACTTAATTAAAGTAAAGAACTAGTTAATTACTTTAATAAATCAATGATTTTCTATTCATATCTTTTGTTGCCATGGTACACATATCCTCCTACACTGTATTGCTTACAATTCTCCTGCACAAATTGTAAGATGTGGACGAGGCAGTAGTTTATTCAGGGGCAATTTATCAGGACAGGATATCCATACAAAAATACAGGTAAAGTTGTTGCAAGAAGAGTAAAAGAGCCCACAGGAGTTTACACAAGGTAATTATGTTGAAAAAGAAAAAGGTAGAAAACAAACAAACAAACAAACAAAAAACAAACAGCATGGATGCAGACGAAAAAACAATGAAAGACTGATGGTAATGGACTGATAAAAGGTTTTCACAAACCTTGGTAATAAACAAATTATTTGTTTATTAGAGACCTTTAGACTCTAAGGCGATGATGACTACGACTGTGACATTTTTTCAATACTAAATGGTACTCACATGAGGGCCAGCGTCATTTGAGTGGGAAAACGTGATAGCCGTTATCATCCTACCTCGAGTTTTAGCGAGAATGTCATAGTTGCAGAAACAAGTTATCAAATTAATGTTAGAAATTTTATCATTTTGTTCACACTGTAAACAAACAAAGATTCGTGGGAGGACTTCAATTTACCACCAATCTGAAACATTGCTTATGTAAATTCATTTCACGTGATCTGGGGACTAAAATCAGAAGAGTGCACGTACATGTACAAGCACATTGGGTTCAAAGGATCAACAGCAATTTCCTCATTCTTTGACATTGCTTAATGCTATTTTTTTTTAAAGTTAGAATTGTACAGTTGTACTGTGAGAATTGTACAGTTATGCTATGTGAGCTTGCACATACTCACATCCTTTCCTCTGCTCTTGTCAATTTCTTTCTTGATGGCTTGAATTTGCTGAAAGGATTTCTTGGATGTCACACTGAACACAAGCAGAAATCCCTGTGCAAGAAAGAGCCATTAAAAAACGTTTTAGGAAATTACATTCCAATCTCTTGTACTTGGACACCCTTGAGATAAGGTTATTAGGTCTGATTTACTTTGCCTTGATTTGCTTTCAGTATATCCACTGGTTATTTTAGTTTCTACACCCTCAAAAGGGTGTCTGAGTCCACTTACAAAACGTGTTCACTAAAGTGAAGTTAAAAATTAATGTGGGTTATGCTGCAGTGAAATTGTGGGCACCACAGTTTGGTGTCCTTTATAGGAGGTGTCTGCAAGCAGGTGGCGTCCATTAGTGGAGTTTCAACAGTATGTGAAAAACATTCCTGATGATGGTCAAACAATAAAATTACTTACATCTGCCAAATTAAGATACTGTTTTGAAAGGTCCCCATTATTTAGCTCCTACAAAAAAAATAGAACCAAATTTCAAACATTAAAAAAAAAGTCAAACATGTATGATAAATTTTGATTATGCCATCCACCTGCCTCACACCCAGTACCCAGTCCCTCACAATCACTCATCTTTTATCACTCCCCCCCCAAAATTCCTGCTCAAGCTCTGTGTTTGCTTCATCACCTTCCATTTGAACCCTGTGCTCATCTTTATACACTCAGTTCTAAGCACGTCACTTTAAAACCCACACTCCCCACTCAACCTTGGAAAAACCTGTGGAAGAGGGGAAACCTTTGTACAGAAGTCCCCAGAGGGTTATATGGTGGGAGCTATCCTCAGTCCAGCATAGTAAGACCTAACGGGGAAAAACCCTCACTATCACAGAGCTCTTTGGGTCATTAAGACACAAAAACTGCAATATCCCAACAAGGAAATACTGCCCAAGGTGAAGCATATGCATGTTAATAAAAGAAGATAAATAATTAATCCTGATTTTGTTGTGGCAGCATTGAAGCCAATGAACACAATAATAATAATTTTATTATTGTGTTCATGCCACAACAAAATCAGGACTGGTATTATTTTATTGATCTAACAAAAATATTTTATTTTTTCCTCTCATCATATAGGAGGGAAACTCCTAGATTTATAATATGATGGTAAGGTGCTTAAGTATTTTTGTTATCATTTAATTTCCTTTTGCCATTTTCTTAGCTTGAATAGGCCCGAGTGAAAAAGGTATACAAATTCTGCTGATGCATACTATTTTTAGCTTAACTTCATATTTCTGCCATCACTTCCACATGCATGGCTCTTACTTGAAAACTTTTCAAAAACGTTTACCTGAGCCCCTGTTAGCAGGGTTTTTTATTACCCCAAAATATAAAAATACCTTCTTACAACAAGAAAACAAAACAGGTCTTACCATGTGGCATCCAGTAGACCTTTTGTAACTTGTCTGTTTTGTTACCCCAGAGAACTGTTTCTTTCAAGTGTCATCTTATGCATGTGTATGCAAGTGCATATGTAATACTATACATAACTTATGAAATTAGACAAAAGTTATGGTGCCTGGAGAACACCACATGGTCTGAATTGCCATTGGGAAAAAATTCAAGCTAAACAGTCTATTGTGAGATCTAAATGCAAGGCCTAGCTCCTAAAAGACTTATTATTCATTCAAATTAAAATTTCTTTTGAGATTTGGACATTTAGCAGGGGGTTGAAAGGTTATTACTAGGGACTTTAAGATCCAACAATGGGGACGGCAATGAGAATGTCAAAGTAATTGGGTAGGAATAATTGCAATTAAGACTGAAGGAACACAAATTCACTTTTTAAGCAATGTTCTCATTGCCCTCGCATCGTTGAATCTTAAAGTGCTTATTAACAGCTCACTGACCAGACCAGCAGTATCAAATATTCTTATCTTCTCCTTAACTCCTCTGTCAGTATCCAACTGAACTTCATAAATGTCCTCAATAGTATGAAATGTTGGCTGAAAATAAAAACAATAACGTTCACCACCTTTAGCAACGACAATGACAATGGAAACAGAATGTTAAAATGAGCAATAGGGTTTATTAAGCAAAAAAAAAAACTCTGCAAGTGCAGCACACTTTTTGGTACATTTCTTTGCCATCACTGCACGATCACGATGCGAGAACGCCTAATTTCACGTTTTTTGGAGGACATTATACAAGGGACGACGAATTTTCTGCCTCTTTCTAAAATTGAGTGCAGCCCCTATAATAATAAAGACTTCAACTCCTGGAAAATTCGCCTTCATTTAAAATATTCAGTGAATTGAAATAAATGTGACAAACCAAGAGTGGTCTGTGATTATTTAAGGGAGATCACAACAGTCATGATAAAATTAGTAGAGAAGAAGTTAAGGTTTTTGACTCAACTGACTAAGGCTAAAGAAGAGGTAGTTCAGTCATTGTTTTCCACTGGCAACAATTTTAAGGTAAATAATATTAAAAGTACTGTTATTGTTATATAAATATTGGAACATAAGATGATTTATTGTTAAGTTATTAATTTTATTCTCTCTTTTCACCATCATGGCTTCAAAAATATAAATGCAAACCATTCAATACAGAAAGTTCAGTTAATCTGGGAAATGAAAGAAGATAAATATACAAAAAGCGCTGCCAAGAATCAGGTTTGTGCGATATTTCATATATGCAAGATATTCAGAAAAATGTTTTACTCAAATTTAGAAAGCTTTGTATGGAGGCGCCATGTTGGTGTCCCTTTGAGGGGCACAAATGTGGCCACTGGAAACCAACAGAAACATCTATTTTTTAGTTTCCCTGCTAATGCATGAATCTATTGCTTGAGAAACTCAAAAAGATTATAAAAATAGTAATATTTTATTCTGAGACAAGGAATGTTTAGGTAGTAAAATCTCAAAAAATTGGTTACGTTTTTAGCCCACATAAGGAATTTCTCGTCCACCAGCTAAACACTGCGTCACGCAAAAGCCTGGAAATTCAAGCGTCCTCTATTGCAAAATCAAGAACTCTTTCGAATTGAAAAGTTGTTCAAATAAAGGTGTTTAGGTGTTGTAATACCTCATGAAAAAAGAAGCGAAGAAGAAAATTATTGATAATGTCTTAGTTTGAATTTTGGTGATGTCACGTGAAAACTGAGAATTTACAGGAAAATGCAACTTTAGTGTTCTCCCAGGGTGGTGCATTTGCACACTTTTTTAGCCCACCATAGGGTTTTTGAATGAACCTCCTGGCCCCAGCGTGGGGCATTTGCAGCTTTTCCAAACACAAAACAAAACAAAACAAAAGACATTTGGACAATAAATACCCGGGGAAGGGGGTAGACACGCTTGGAATTGACTGAGCCATACATGTAAACCCGGAGTAGTCAATCAATAAAAATCGGTATTGACTTATCAAGTGATAAATTGATAAAAATCAGAAAATCAGATTTGATTGATATTGATTGTATCGATCAACTGGTAGAAATCGATGACACACTCATTTCATTTATCAATTTATCTAGATTTTACAGATTTCATCGCATTATATCAGATGATACATCTGTTCTTCTGTTCATCCAAAAATGAAAACTGATTTCAAGCAAACAGTGAATTAGTTGACAACATGCAAGTTGCAATAATTTCATTGAGAGTTGAAGGATCAAACAGTTATCACTTTTTAAAAAAAGAGTTTAAAAAAATCTTATCTTTTCCTTAAAACCTGGTTTGAAGTCTTTTCTGATGGCTGATATTGGCCAGGTTTGTAGGGGCCCAGTTTTTCACAAGATTATTGTATTTAGATCTGCCACCCTTTCAAAATAACGTCAGTTCCATGTGTAGTTACTTCCCGCAGTAGCCTATACATGTAGATAAAAATCGAAATCGATAAAAATCGTTAGCGATCAAGTGATTTCTATTGATTGAAAGCGGAAAATGGTGAAAAATAATCTAACGAAATCTTTTAGCCTGAATTTCACGCATCCCTTCAACACTAGTAGCCTGCATTTCATCTGATTGCTTCAAGTCATTTTCTCCTCTCAGCAATGTCTGAATCGACCAGCTGTTAATGCCATCTAGTGACATCACTACTACCCGAAAACCGGGTGGTGATTTTGATTGATTGATTGTCTAAATATTTGCGTAATTATGTATAATTATGAGAAATTTTAACGGGATTGTCTCTTGGTACTCAGCGGATTGCATAAGTGGCATGCTTACATGGAGTTCAAACATTTCGATAATCTTTATCATAAACAGCAAAATTGCCCTTGTCTTTGAAACTGAATTGCTATAAAATTGAACTGCGAATGAAGAATCATTGTGTAGAGTCGGTAGGTTTTTCAGACCAATGTCATATTGTCATTCGATCTTTTTGCTATTTCCACCGTCAAGTGTAATGATTCTGTTAGCTTTTAGCTCTTGTTTCCTTATTTTCTTTTTTCTTTCTTAAGGACCAAATAGCTTCTTTCCAATTTAAGGGAATTGTTGTGTTTTTGAACTAAGTGTTCCCAGGGTGTATATATTTCATTGCATAGTTGTGACCAAGTTTGAATTACATTTGTACAACTGGTTCAGAGTACTGCATGCAGTTGATAGTAAAAAAAAAGTCAAAAAGAGTAAAGCAATTGTGTCAGCTGATCAGCCTTGCTGTGTCTCAGAGGAACCAGGAGAAAGAGAAGAGCAGTCATATATCTGACATTGACATTACATCGGAAAGGGCGCAAGCCAGAATTTAAGTAGTAACTTTTTATCAGTTTGAATTATTTTTAGATAGTTTTATTTTTTTATTAACTTTTTGATGCTTTTTATAATTGTCATTAGTAGTTTTTAGATAGTCATTTTACGACAATTCTCTTTCGTACACAAGAAGAATGTACATAGGGTATATATTTTATTAGTATATACACACTCAGTGATCTTGGTAATTCAAGCAATCTGATTGGTTAGCTATCTCGGACTATGACGTTATATTCACCGCGCTAGGCGGTGAATATAAAGCCGAACAAAATCGCTGTCGTGAACTGGGTGTTTTGCCAAAGTTTCAAAGTAAAACCTTTTTGAAAATACACGAATATCCAAGTGCTGATGACTTTGAAGGCAAGAAAAGACTTCATGGTGTTTAAACAGCGTGATTTATTGTGAAGTGGTTTACTTTAGCTGACTTTTTGTACGCTCGAAGCTATGTTTACCACTACAGAG